GGAATGTTGGGTATTCCTGCCAGCTTGGTGTCATCTGCAAATTTGATGAGTTCCCCATTTATTCCCTCATCCAAATCATTGATGATTAGGTAGGTACAGACCTACCTATCCAATCACTTAAATCACTTTCCCTCCTCTAGATATGTGCCAACCTGGATGCAGATGAGATTGTGACTGTTCAAGAGCACATTGTGCAACTGCAACATCAAGCAAAAGAACCTCTTAAGAAATTTGAGATTGCAGATGATAAAAAGGAGGTATGGATTTTTATGTGAGCATGTAACTTTAGCATAGTGTATGGTTTCCTTATTTGGAAAAAAAATAAAAGAAAGACAGGCCTACAGATGTTAGCTTCCTCTTTCAGAAAAGAAAGTTCTCCATTTCTTCATGGGAAGGACTAGAATGTCGAGGAAGATTCCAGCTTGGTTGTTTTTGCACCCATAGCCCATAAAAAAGAACATATGTGATACATTGCACATAGGGAGATAGGAGTAAATAGTCCTCCTGGAGCTGTGATGGCAGTATTGTAGAATGCAGTATTGCTGGCTGACTGTGCCCACTGCCAGAAGTTTGATCCTGAACGGCTGAAGTTTGACTCAGCTTTCCATCCTTCCAAGGTCATTCAAAAGAGGACCCAGATTGTTGGGGGCAATAGGCTGACTCTATAAACCGCTTAGTGTCTGTAAAGCAGGGGTTCCCAACCCCTGGGCTGCGGCACACTACTGGACCATGAGCCGTTCAGAACTGGGCCACAGAATCTGCGCCTGAGTGTCTGTGCGCATACATTCCAGTTGCGCGAGCAGTGAACACATATACCCACAGCTCATGCAAATGGACTGCACACCCATGGATGCGCTTGCCAGCCGCTCACCCAGAACTAGCTCCTTTCTTCCTCCCCCTGGCAGTCTGCAAAGCTGTAAAATTTGGGGAACTCTGCTGTAAAGCCCTATGAAGTGGTGTATAAGTTTAAATGATACTGCTCTTATCAAAATACTAAAGGTAGAAAAGAAATAAACAAATATAATAAATGAAACATTTCAGTGAAGGGCCTCCTCCCTCCCACATTACGCGCACATTCCCTCTTGCGCACGTAGTGTGTGCGCTTACTGGCCATTCACGTGGAACCATCCCCTTTCTCCCTGCGTTGGTCCGCAAAGCCAGAAAGATTGGGGGAAGCTCTGGATTAATTGATCTGCTGTGATGGAATGTTTCTAGTATTTTCCTCAATTATAAACTAAAAAAAAAAAAGATTTACTATGATTTTGGTTGAATATCTATTTAACTGGAGGTTTTCCTGACAAAAGTTAGACGTAAAAGGATGGTGTGAGGATTTCTGTTTGCGGGGGGCGGGGGGGAATCAGGAGTGAAATTCAGCAGGTTCTGACAGGTTCTGGAGAACCAGTAGCGGAAATTTTGAGTAGTTCAGAGAACTGGCAAATACCATTTCTGGCTGGCCCCGGGAGTAGGGTGGGAATGGAGATTTTGCAGTATTCTTCCCCTGCCACAGCCACCAGCCACAGAACTGGTAGTAAAAAAAATGAATTTCACCACGGGGGGGGGGGTCATGTTAGACTAGTTTTTCAAGCTGCTGAGCATCCCAGAGTCGCTTGGGACAGCGAGATGGGCAGCATATAAATTTAATAAATAAATAAATAAAGATCCCTTCTAATCCCTGGCTCACTAATGACATGCTTTACATTTTAGGATCCATTTAGAGAGAAACTCGTAAACATTATGACTGAGATTCAAGGCTATGGTCAGTTCAGTCTAAACGTTGATTTTGGATCACAGGCCTATGAACAGTGGGTAATTCAGGAGGAAAAGCAAGGTAAGGTTTACATTGGGTTACTACATGGTAATAATACATTGCTAAATTAGATGGCCAGAGTTTTCGTACACCTTTGCTTGCTTGTTTTCTCAATGCTTGTTCTTTTTTCTAGCTGCCAAAGAAGGGATGCGCAAAAAGCGGGTATGTGCAGAACACTTGAAGAAGTACAACGATGCCTTGCTGATTAATGATACTACCCGAAGGATTGATGCCTATAACCATCTGAAGAATTTTTATGAGGAAGAAAGGAGCAAAAAGGTGGCAATGGATGAAGATAAAGAAGAAGATGAATGCACGGCCTCTCAGCTAGATGAAACCGATACATGTCTTATAGAGTTGTTTTATGGTAAGCATGCGCCATCTGGGACTTCCTGTCTACACTTCCACAAATCAATGTGCACTATTCAAATGTGAACCAAAAATTTCTTGCAGTTGGATCATTCAGTAAGGCTGCTCTGTAACAAGTGGCTTGCTCACATTTCACATGCACTTTTCATTCATGTTTATAAATTTCCTGGTTTTCATTGAAAATTGGGATATAAACTTCCCAATTTTCTCAACTTCTACTTTAGCTGAAACTCGGGGAAGAGTAATGTAGGATGTTCTGTGGATAGAGATTTAGACAAGCTGCCTACTTATTCTCAAGGCTATTATCCTGATTTAATCATAACTATAAACCTGCGATGGCGAACCTATGGCACGCATGCCCGAAGTGGCACGTGGAGCAAGTCATCTGCCACGCACAACGTCACCTGTTCTTCTTCTGAATTTCTGGCGTCCATGCGCACACAACGATCAGCTGGCCCTTGGGCGTGCAACAGCAGTGCCGGAAACTGGAAGAGCTGGTCTTCTGTTTTCCAGTGTGAGCATGTCCCCTGGCCAGCTGATCGGTGCAAGCGCATGCGCGGCAGTAACCGGAAGTACATTTCTGGAGAACAGAAGTACTCCTTGGTCACAGCCCAGATGGCGCAAAGTGTTCCCTTTCTGGCCACGGCTGCGCACACTCCCTCTTTGGTACTCAGTGCCGAAAAGGTTTACCATCACTGCTATAAACCATGTGCTCCCAGTGCAAGCAGGTAGGAACCTAAGGATTCCTCATTGCTTACTTGTAGGTAAATCTACACTACTACTGTTTGCTGTGAACATATCCAGACAACAGAGCCTCCATCAGTCCCTGTTGTGTAAATTATATTACTTTCCATTATGCTTCCAGGTGTGATTCAAGTCACTGGTTATTCCCTCTAACATGGCATAGGGCCTCGTTATTTGAGATCTTGCCTATCTCCTGTAGTTTGTGCCTTCTACTGTGTTTCCCTGAAAATAAGACCCAACCAGAAAATAAGCCCTAGCATGATTTTTCAAGATGCTCATAATATAAGCCCCACCCCCAAAATAAGCCCCAGTTAAGATCGTCAGCCCTGTGGGGGGACATGCCCATAACAGGAGGTAGTGAGCTCACGGGAGCCTATGATGTCCATCAGCTACACACACAGGTGAATCTGAGTGATGCAACTGCCGGCCCAGCCCTCCAAGCAGCAGGTGGAGGTAGAGGTGTGTGTGGGGGGGGGAGGCACGTGATCTGGTCCCCCAGATGCACCACACAGACACCCACCCACTCCATCCCACTGTCTATCTTTGCTTGCCCACTGTCTCAAATGGATGTTAGTCTTTTTGAACATGATCTGCTGATGCTTTCAGATGTTTTTGTCTACAATCAGTGTCAGCCAGCATGGCTCATAATTACATCTTAATTCTTTTTAAACATAATTACTTAAATATTTTATTCATTTACGTTTGTTCCTAAAGACAGAAAAAGAGAGCTGGAAGAGTTAGCTAAAAATCTACAATATGAAAATGAAAAACTAACAAAATTGCGTACAACTTTAATGCAACAATTCACAAAGAACAATGAACCCAGAGGAATTATTTTCTCAAAAACTCGTCAAAGTGCATTTGCTATCTCTCAGTGGATTAATGATAATCCCAAATTTGAAGAAGTTGGAGTGAAGGCTCACTACCTCATTGGTACAGGACATAATAGTGAATTTCAGCATATGACTCAGGTAAAACAAAAATGTAACATCTATTGTCAGATTTTCTTTATTTTTCAATTGGGTAGGGCAGGGGTCCCCTACTGGACCATGGCCTATTTGGAACTGGGCCATGCAAGAGGTGGGCTAGTGTGTTGCTCCACTTGTGTGAATGGAATTCCAAAGGCTTCTCTCTTGTGTGAGTGGAGTTGTGCTCATACCTGCTGGCCCATTACTCCCGCAACCAAGTTTCCCTCTCTCCCCTTCCCCCGCCAGCTGAGCCACCGGGCCCCTGCTCCTGATGCTTGAAAAGTGAAGGGATGAGAGCAGAGGCTGAGTGAGACAAGCACACCCTGCTCAGCTACATTGTCTCACCGAGGCTATCTGCGCAGGATCCACTTTTGGCGCTTCAGGCAGCTTCAGTGAGTCTGAAGGAACACGAGACGGCATCCCTAAAAGCTTCTTTTCTCTGCACAAAAGCTCTTGCAAATGGACAAAAGCCTTCGAGGGAATGATCTCACGCTGCTTCGGGCTTTCCATCCCTTTGCAAAAACATTTGGTACGGAGAAGAGTGAAGGAGGACGAAACCATGTGCAAAGGTGGTTTCGTGAGTGGAAGTGTGCGCATTAGTCCATCACTAGCCAGCCCTGTTCCCCTCCCTCCCAGAGTCCTAACCAGCCAGAAACAGTCTGCTCTATGGCTCCAGAGAAAACATCAAAACACCATGTTCTCTGTGGTTCTTCCAAAGACATTTCTGAAACCCCCATGGCTCTGTGAGGACAAGGGCATGCATTGCCCTTGTATGTAAAAGATGCCAAAATGTAAAAGATGGCACACCTGAACCATGCCAAACCTAGCACAGCCAGTAGCTATGAGATGTCGAACATGAAATATGGGTGGCTTGCCAGAACCTTCATATGAGTGTATCCCCCCCCACACACACTTTTCCTATCCCATTTCAGAAGTACAGTGTTATTCATTAATAATCATTATATCAAATGCTCTGTGTGATTATTACATGTTTCTGTGATTGACACTTTTTTTCTAAAATGCTTAAGAGCTGACTTCCAAAGTGTTATGGCTGTAACAACCCACTGATGTAGATCGAGGTAGTCAGATAGAATTTGTATTTTTCAGAGCTACAACTCTACTGTAGTTGGGTAACCTGGATATGTTGGAAATAGCATCTCTGAATGAACTGAATTTATTCCGTGGAGCCCTTGCTGCTCTCTGTGCTTGCTGGTTTTCTTGCAGATGTTTCATTACCCAGCTAGATAACATCATCAGTGCTAGGAATTTCTTCTTCCTGCTTACAGTAGAAATCTGTGGCAGCTTTATATATAAGTTTTCTTTTTTAAAACATGGCTTTGTTCTTGCTTTAATTCAAAATATAGTCTGTAACATTTGCGATCTGAGAACAAATTCTTCATGACTTAACTCAAGTTGTAAGTGATGCTCGTCGTGCTGTTTTATGAATGTAACAACAATATGTTTCTACAGAATGAACAAAAAGATATCATTCAAAAGTTCCGTATTGGCAAAATCAACCTATTAATTGCTACTACCGTAGCAGAGGAAGGCCTGGATATCTCAGAGTGCAACATTGTTATCCGCTATGGTCTGGTTACCAATGAAATAGCGATGATGCAGGTAATGTTCCAGTCATCCCATTAGTGCTTTTTCATCTGTAAGTTTATCAGATAATCAGATTACCATCTTCTGCTTTAACCACAACACTGAAATGGCTCTCAACTGCAGCATAAAAACATTTAAAATGTCATTCTATCAATAAGGCAGGTTGTTTATCTCAAGTGCTCAAATATAATACATTTGGGCTTCTGCTGTGCATCCCATGAATATATGTGCACCTGTATCTTTTTGTAACTGGGACAAATAAGTTGAGGGAGAGACATTGGTATGGCACAGGAGAAAGAGGCAACTCTCTCCCTCCATTTTATCTGAATTCTTCTTCTACCCCATATTTCAACTGCTGTTTAAATAAATTCTAAAATAGATTTTAAATTGTATTGGCAAAAATAAGAAAAAAACCCTCCCTTTTTAACAACCCTGTAAGGTTGGGATAGAGTCAAGGAAAGTGGATGGAGCTGAGCGTTTACTGACGGGATTCCCTTCCTGATGCCACACGGAGTTCACAGTAGATATTTTCTCTGAGCACCCTAGGATTGAACTCTCAACTTCTGAGCGGGAGGCGACAGTCTTCATCGCCAGGCTGCTCCTCAAATTTTATTAGCAACAGTAAATAAATTTAATTAATTAAGATTCTATGTGCCAACTACTGGAAGACATTTTCTGTTGTTTTGATGGGTTGCTAGTTTCTAAAAGTACATGACAAATAAATATTGAAATCAAGATTCATATTCCAGCAAAACTCTTTAACTCTTCCAGGAAAGGACGGGAACACAACCTACCTCCTACGTGTAAGTTCCTAGTATTTTATTTTAGTTTCTTGTTTCTTCCAGGCTCGGGGAAGAGCTCGAGCTGAGGAAAGCATCTATGTGCTTGTAGCTTCAGATGGATCGGGAGCTGCTGAACGTGAAAATCTTAATATGTGTCGTGAGAAAATGATGCATCTAGCAATTAAGCGCGTCCAAAAGATGCCACATGAAAAGTATTTGCATAAGGTAAGGCCCACACCATGGGTGTGACCACTTTGGTTCTGCAAATACCTCTCTCGTCTTCTTTTTTTCCTTTTATTTTTGCTTGCTATTATTTATTTTTGAAAAGCCTTGGTTTTTCCCCCAAAAGTGCTTATTTATTCAGAAGTAATCTTTCTTTTGCCTACCGTGTTTCCCTGAAAATAATATTACACACAAAATATGGCTTGGGCTTTTTATGAGGGGAGGGTTTATTGTTTTGGGGTTGCTAGGTGGCTGCTCTCTTGCGAGCGGGCTGCCAAAGAGCAGGGCCCAGCCTCATGGGCGAATGAGGTTTGAGGTTTGAGGTTTATTGGGATTTATATGCCGCCCTTTTCCCTGAGGGGACTCAGGG